ACCAAAACACTGAAAAATAGAAGTTGATGTTAAGATATCGGATATCAAAAACAAATCACCTGTAAAATGTCTAGGAAAGACCATTTAAGAATCACTGAATTCCTTGAAAACCATGAAAAAAAAAAAGCCTGGTCACTGCTTATACCTATTAGAATTACAGGGCAAAGTGAACATAGAAAGGCTGTCCCAATCTCTTCCTGAAAGGAACCCCAAAAGGAAAAGTCCCAGGAATGTCCATAGCCAAAACCCAGAACTTTCACATCAAAGAAAAAATATTACAAGCATCCAAGTAACTGACGTCAGGATTGAATACGACCTGGCAGCTCCTACTATAAATAAGAGAAGATTTTAGAATATAATATTTTAAAAGGTAAAAAATATGAGATTCAAACCAAGAATAACTTACCCTGCAAAGCTGAGTGTCATCCTACAGGGAGAGAAATGGATCTTTAATGGAATAAAGGACTTTCAAGCATTTCTGATGAAAAGACCAGAGCTGCGGAGAAACTTTAAAATACAAACACAAGAGAAAAGAGAAACTTAGGAAAGTAAATTTACTTGAGCAATTGGAATGGCCTGTATGATGATGAAGTGCTAATATCTAGTAATAAGAAGAAACAAGCCTCTTGTCAGAACTTTAATGTCTTCATAGGGTATGGGGGAGAGGGTGGATTGGTTCTGTTCTGAAGGTTTTAAGAGAAGAAAGTAAAGGAAGAGTAAAAGGAACACATACCAGTATAGAAAGAAGAAGGAGAAGTGAGTGGAACTTGCTATTTTTTCATAACTGAGATGCTTTGAGGATGGAGTAAATAATGGGAGGGCATGGGCATTAGATGAACTTCTTAATTTGGGATAGACAAAAGATTGAACACACACATACACAAACACAGTTTTGTGTAGAAATACATCAAACTCAACAGAAAAACCAAGGAGGAAAGAGTCCCAAGAAAAACAAACTTTCTAATCCTGAAGGGGGGATTAAAAGGAAAAATGAAAACAAAGAATTAGAATCTAAGGGGATTCCCCATCCATTGGAGAATGGCTGAACACATTGTGGTATGTGAATGTAATGGAATGTTTTTGTGCTCTAGGAAATGAGAGAAAAGATGATTCCAAAGAGACATAGTAAGACCTTTATGAACTGTTGCAAATTAAAATGAGCAGAACCAAGAGAACAATTTGTACAAAGACAGCATTGATGAGAGTAAGGGGAAGACAAAAGTACAGAAATCTTGTCGGCTGGAAGGTAGGTCACATGGTGTGGTGAATGGTGGGCTAGGCTTCAATCAGGCTCTAGGATCTACACTTTTCTAGTTAGAGGGAGGGAAGGAGGGAAGGAAGGGAAAAGAAAGGAGAGAAGGAAGGAGGGAAGGATCAAGGAAGGAAGGAGGGAGGGAAGGAAAGAGAGAAGGAATGAAAGATGGAAAGAAGGATGGAAGGAGAGAAGTAGGAGAAAAGGAAAGAGGGAAGGAAGGAGGGGAGGAAGGAAGGGAGGAGAGAAGGAAGGAGGGAAGGAAGGAAGAAACAAAGGAACAAATAAGGAAGAAGGAAGGAAGAAAAGAAGGAAACATTTATTAAGCATCTGCTGTGTCCCAGGCACTGTGCTACAAGCTTTACAAATACTGTCTCATTTGCTCCTCACAACAACCCTGGGAGGTAAGTGCTATTATTATTCCTATTTTACAGGTGAGGAAACTAAGGCAGAAATGAGAGGTTCATCAACCTGCCTAGGGTCACACAGCCGGTAAGTGGCTGAGGACTAATTTGAACTGAGGTCTTTCTGACTCCAGGCCCAATACTCCATCCATGGGTCAGTCATTCAATGATTCAGGGCCTGAATTTCCTTATCTATAAAATTGGGGTGATAATACCTCAGAGGGTTGCAATTAAGAAAGCCCTTTGCAAACCTTAAAGTGATATATAATATGAATTTTTAAAAAATTGTTCTCAACTTAATGAACACCCTTCTCCCAAAAGAACATTTCTATATATAAAATAGTACAGAAAAAGAAGATTCTGCAAGAAACCACAAATCTCTATTACAGACGATTTGCTTTAAAAAAAAATATATATATATATAGATATATAGATATATGTATATATAGAGAGAGAGACGGGGGGGCAGTGGATAGAGCTCCGGCCTTGAAGTCAGGAGGACCTGACTAGCTTCAGACACTTGACACTTACTAGTTGTGTGACCCTGGGCAAGTCACTTAACCCCAACTGCCTCACCGAAAAGCAAAAAAAAAAAAAGTGTATAATAAATTCAACATAGAGACACCTAAGTAGCACAATGGATAGCACACTGGGCATGGAGTCAGGAAGACCCCATTTCAAATTCAGCCTCAGAAACTCACTAGCAGTGTGACTCTGACCAATGTCTGACTTGGGTTCTTTATCTGTAAAATGAGGATAATAATAACACCTACCTCTCAGGATCAAAAGAGATATCTGTAAAGTGCTTTGCAGACTTTAAAGTGCTATATAAATGCTAGCTATTATTATTATGCACAATTTTATTTTTAAGATATATATAATAAATTCAATATGTTACTTTTAAATTTGCCCTGTTTCCCTGTTTCCTTCCAAACCTTTTCTCTATTCTCTTCTATATATTTTTTAAAATGTATCCATGTTCTTTTGTCTTTCTTTTCTTCTTTTTTTGGGGGAGGGAAGGAGATGATACCCTATCCCTGATCTTCCTTTTCCTCTCATCCCACTGGGAAAGAAAAGAAAAGAAAAGAAAAGAAAAGAAAAGAAAAGAAAAGAAA